GTGACATACCTCTAACTATGGCACTATTGGGGGGATGGCACTATAGAAAGGAGGCTCAAATACATATATTTGGGGACAAAGCACACGCCCCCCCCCCTCCGCCCCCCCCTTTGCGCGCGATGCCATCCCCGCGTGCGCGACCGTCCCCCGCCGACAGCCCGCCGCCGGCGGCGACGAACATCGCCACGGCGTACCCGCCGTCGCCGCCCGCGCCGTCCTCGCTGGCGCGCCAGCTCGCCCTGGTCACGCTCTTCGGCGCCGCCCTCGTCCTGCTCGTGCACAACGTCGACCACCCGGCCGCCGCCCGCGTCAAGGCCGCCGTCACGTCCGCGCTGTCCGCCGCCTCTCCGCGCACCCCCTCATCGGACCCCACGGCCCACCTCCCCGCCGGCCCGCGCCTCGCCGTGTGCTTCGCCGGCCACGTCGGCACGCTCAAGTCCGTCTACCGACAGAACCTCGACGCCGTCCGCGCCCTCGACCCCCACGCAAGCGTCTTCTACCACCTCGACCTCTACGACGACTACTTCCGCGAGGGCACGGACCGCAACTACAAGAAGGAGCACGAGATCGGCGACCTGCAGCACGTCTTCGACGCCGCCCGCCCCGCCGCAGTCACTACCTACTCCGCGGCCGACGTCGACCTCCCCGCGCAGTCCGCGTGCCACAGGAAGCCCGCCGCAACCCGCGCGCACTACTCGCATAATTTTATGCAGTTCTACGCTGCCGCGGGCTGCTACACCATGATCAAGCGCGCAGAGCTCGACGCCGGCGAGCGCTTCAAGTGGATACTGCACCTGCAGCCCAACATGCAGATCAAGGTCAAGTTGCCGCCCGCGGACGCCGTGCCCCGCGTGCATCTGAGCGGCTCGGCGATGGCCCTCGTGCCGCGAAACCTGGCCGACGCTTACTTTTCCGTCGTCGACGCGTTTAAGGACGGCAAGTGCCAGCCGCTGGATAAGATGGGCAGCGAGCCATGCAAGAATTACTCGTACATGGAGGACTCGACCGAGTGCCTGCTCATCAAGTGGCTCAACTTTCATGATATCACGCCGTCGAATGGCGTCTACGTCAACAGGCGCATCATGTATCCAGAAGCGGACACTAGCGAATGACAGCTTAGCTATGTAACGTTGAAAGTCACTACTTCTTACTTTTGTAATTCTATCAATACATCAATACTGCTTGCGCTACGGAAAAAAACAAGCCTTCCTTCCTGCCCACCGCCCTTTCCCCCTTCCCCCCGCCTCCTATAAAGAATTGAGTGGCAGCCACGACAGCGGCCAAAAGCCCTCCGCGTTCGCGAGCGGCTTGATGATATTGAACGACGCGCGGAAGATGGACCACGCCCTGACGAGCCTCGCGGGCGTGGGAAACGGCATGAGGGCCTTGCCGCAACCGTACAGTGCGACGGCGAAGAAGTGCGCCAGGAGCAGGTGGCGCTGCGGCTTGAGCCCGCCGAGCATGGCGATGGGGTCGTGCGTCATGCGGCCGCCCTTGGCGAGGTAGTCCAGGCAGGCGGCGCGCATGTCGCGCAGCGCGGGGTCGTCCGTCGCGCAGAAGAGGGTGTACAGTGCGTTGGCCAGGATGTTGATGGTGGTGGACATGGGCTTGCGGCGCTCGTAGAAGAGTTGCAGCTTTGCCGCGACGGCGGGCGCGTCGGACAGGTCCGGCACGGGCGCCAGCAGCTCGCGCAGCAGCTCGACGTCCGTGAGCGCGACGGTCATGCCGCCGCCCGTGAGCGGGTGGCGCATGTTGAAGGCGTCGCCCAGCAGCACGGCGCCCGGCACGACGTGCGCCGGGGCCGGCATGACGCGGTTGGGCATCATCTTGGAGCGGCGCTCCCTCACGGCCGTGGCGAGCGGGGCGCGCAGCGGCGGCGGCACCTGCGGCACGACGGTGTGCAGGATGTATTCGGCCGCGTCGCCCGCGTAGGTCGACGGGATGTCGACCAGACAGCGGACCTCGGTGGCGCTGATCGGGTAGAACAGGACCGGGCACGGGTCGGCCAGCACGACGTGGCCGTGGTTCGGGAACGGCAGGGCGGGGACGTGCAGCACGAGGCCGTGGAAGTTGGAGTAGACGGTGACGTGGTGGTGGGCGGCGGCGCGCTTCCTCAGGGCACTCCCGCACCCGTCGCAGGCGATGGTGAGGCCCGCATGTGCCGTGGCGGCCTTGTTCCCGCGCGTGGCGTAGCGCACGCCGACGACGGCGCCGTCGCGCTCGAGCAAGGCGAGGACGTTGCCCTCGACGAGGGTGACGTTGGGGTGCGCGCGCGCGATCTCGCGCAGGCGCTTGAGGAAGCGGCCGTTGTGAAAGGCGCGGCCCTCGGGCTGCGGGCGCGCGGCGGGGTCGGGGTCGGGGTCGGGCCCGCCCGGCTGGTGGTACGGCAGGCGCTCGGCGCGCGGGCCCAGGAAGAGGGCGTAGCCGCGGATCACCTGGGCGTCGATGTCAAGCAGCGCATCCGCCAGGCCCAGGCGGCACAGGGCGTCGTAGCCGCCCGGCTGCAGCAGCTCGCCCACGATGCGCGGCGGGGCGCACAGCGCGCCGGACGGCGCGTACAGCTGGCGCTCGACGCACAGCACGCGGCGGCCGTCCCGCGCTAGCGCGT